GGAGAATTCCTGCTAAGAGTAGTATTTTCATATATTAACTATATCTAGTTAACCTAGGAGTCTCTGCCCAGCATCCTACACTTCCTTAGCATCCTAAGGAGAAGCGTGAGAAGCAAGAAGACTTAGTTCACCTCTTTTCTCCTCTCTCTACTAATTCATAATCCCTGTCTCCCTTTCTTCTTTCCTCCTCTGTCTCATATCTTTCCCTTCATGTGAAAGCCCTCCCCTACCCCAGAAAAAGAGATCTCTATGAACAGACTGACACTCAGTTGGCTTGCTCACCTCCACTAAGGCCCTTGCATGCTTCTTCAGCCAGAAACACCTAAAGGCTCCTTGCCCCATTCAATTCTGCTTTTACTGCTGCTGTTTTTTTTCTGATGTTTTCCTTTATGAAAGATGGGCATGGGGGAGCAGAGGGAGCACAGTGAGCGGGTTCACCTGGAGAGTTGGGGTGGTTCTTGAAAGGCTAGGCATGAGTTGGAATTGAGACCAGACATGGTACTCCTCTTAGTAGCCACAGATACTCCTTTCTGACTGCAACAGTGCCCCTAAACATACTGCAAACAACAGAGGTCACCAAGAGCTGCAAACAGCAATACAAACCTTGTCAGCCCTCATCTGGTAGTCTAAGTTAAAACAGGATTCAGGCTTTCATTTTAAATTAACTTAGGGTGACATTTTCTACAGTAGCTACTGATTTCAAGTGCCTCTATTTTTGGCACGTTGGGCCCGATTATCAGAGATGCTGAGTACCCACAACTTGATCTGAAATTAATAGGAGATGCATGTTCTCAGCACTCTTCTGAGTCAATTTGTGGATCCATTATTTGAGTCATTCACAATTAGTGGCAGATTTTGAAATATTTGGTTTTCATTTCCAATCATAATGGCTGTGAGAATAACATTCCAAATGTGAACTGAGGCTCTTGCTGTTTGAATTTTTCAGCTAGAAAGACAAACAGAGTAGATCTAAGACAGGTGTAAAATAACTTCATTCACCTCAATTAGGTTTTAATTTCTGAGGCTAATTATGACCATTTAAAGACAACACTGTTAGCTATTTCACTTCTGACATTTTAGCTCAATTATCCAGCTTCTCTGGGACTGTGTGCAAAGCTTGAGATTGAGTTAGGAAACAGGTGCATTTAGTAAGAACCATGAGTCAGATGAGAAGTCACACTATTTTATTGATTTCATGAGCACTCATCCTATCTGAGTCTGCTTAGGGTTCCAGAAACATCGAGTTCACCTGACCATGGTCAGAGGCTTAGCATAGTCATTAGCTTAGTCACTTCCATGCTAACATTACATCATCTCTTCCTCAGGGTCACTCAAATACTAGTAGCATGATAATTATCCTCTACAAATACCTTTCCCTCCTACCAAAAGACCTTAGGAACATGACTAGTCTTGAAAGTGTTTTATATTTTTGTATTTGCCAGTGTCCTAAGGGTAAAAATATAGCATAATATAGCTTATAAACCACTAAAGAGAAACATTGAAGAGCAGATCCCAAAGTAATGGTAAGAATTTATATTAGCTGAAGATCAGCCCATAAGACTTTTAAAAAATATATGTATGCCACTGTCACTGAAGGCATGCCATTAATGAGATCATATATGTAAATCAGCAATTCACAAACTGTCCTCCATAAACTGCCTCTGGTTTGCAAAGCACTTGCAAGTGGCTAGCAGAGCCATGACTGGTCATGTAGTGCTGGCCCTCCTCCTTCCTTCCAGTTGCTAACTACATTAAGATATATATTGAAAAACAGCAAAAAACTACATTGCATAGATTCCTAATATTACTTTTCCATGTAAGCACTCACTGAAGTTGCCATAAGGATCTTGTGTTACCGCCAGTGGTAAGGGAATTGTCCAAAAGGTAATATCTAAATTAAAATGTGGTCTACACTGTAAAAAATGTTTGAGAAATACACATCTAGATCTGTGTTAAATGTAGCCTGATATGACAGTTTACCAGAAACTTTCAGGATCCAGTACAAGATAGGAAAGTAAATGAACCATATAAGAGGCACTGCATAAATCTCATGAGTCCTTCTCCACAGGTGAAAAGAAAAGGGGTATATTTCTGACACTGTGTATGAGAATTTAACCATAAAATCCCATTAATGCTAATTTGGTATTATTGGGATTGTTACTCCGAAGTTGCATTCCAAACTCAGTGCTAATAATACACCCCAAGATCTGTATCTTCTTGTTGTATTGACATATTCTCTGCAATTAAACGATTTTCCTTGAAAAACACTAAAACCTCTAAAGTAACAGACTCTTTTATAGGACACATTTATATGCTGGGGGAATCTCATGTATCTAGTATCAGAAAGAGGACCTCATTAAAGCCAGAGCCTGAATTGAGTATCATGTGAACTTTGTAGAGAAAGGTTCTGAAAATTACAATGATTTAACAACTGCCGACAAACTTGTCAGAAAGGGTTAAGGAATCTAAATACTTCAGTCATGAACAGTATTCGTTATCTATAAAAGATGACCTTGAAATAATAGGAGCACTTACTGCAGAAAATGTTGTTATATTTCACTCCTTGAAACCTCCACATGTCCAGAGCATGGAATGTGGGGGGGAGAGAGGATACTCTGTATAGCAATGCTACACAAGAAAAGCAATATGTTTGCTAAGCTGATCAATAGCATGATTAACTTGGCCAAGTAAAAGACTGATCAATCTTATTATTGATCAGTTTAGCAAACATATTAGTGTAGCATGGCTACATTGTGTCTATGGCAGTGTTTCATCAGGATATACATGCATTGAGCTATTCAAATGAACTCACAACAGATGCACACTGTTTGTTCAAAATCAAAGAAGAGATGAAGCAATCTCATATATAAGGTAGAAAACTTGCAATAGTTAAAACAAATTAAAGATCATTTAAATTTACAACGATGGAAAATAAACCACATATTCTGGTATATATAATTCATATTTCAAATCCACAACTATAATTCTTAAAATAATTAAATTATTGCTACACGTTTTCAGTAAACCACATCAAAAATGAGTAAGCCCAGCAAACCAGAGACACTATTTGCATTGTAAAAAGAACAGGAGTACTTGTGGCACCTTAGAGACTAACAAATTTATTAGAGCATAAGCTTTCGTGGACTACAGCCCACTTCTTTGGATGCATCCAAAGAAGTGGGCTGTAGTCCACGAAAG